TGAGTAAAAAACTGAAACTAAATTAAATGTATTATATCAACACATTTCACATAACTGTATTAGGTTAGTTGATAGCAATACTATTACGTTTAAATACAAGATGAATAGGATCAACTGAATATTAGTGCTTTCATTTAACCTAATGCAGTTATGTGAAATTTGTTGATGTAATATATTTAATTAAAGTCAGTTTTTTCAGTGTCAGAAGTGGAAGAAGTACTCAAATGATGTAACAGTTGCAATACCACAGTGAAATAATACTCAATAAATGCGTTGATATAATACATTTAATTAAAATCAACAGTTTTTTCAGTGTCAGAGGTGGAAGAAATGATCAGAAGGTTTATTACCAGTTGACACGTACGAGGAATTTGACTTGATGTCAAATAAAAAACAATTTTTAAAAATAGACCACAGATAGCGAACTATTTTAAGAACACTGTAATCAAAATAAAGTGAGATAGCAATAAAATAAAGCAGTCATTTACATCGAAGTAGAATGCAATCAATTATAGAATATACAATATGCAGTATTGTCAACATTGTGTACATGAATGTAATAGTATTGCTATCAACTAACCTAATGTGGAAATCTGTGACATAATACATTTAATCAAAGTCAACGTTTCCGTTTTTTTACTCAAATGAGGCAGAGACTACACACGTCAAAATACTAGATACAAGTTCAAATATCGCAGAGGCAGATGTAGCGAAATGTTGCACCGACTGAAAATCTAATGTTGCCCGGGGACAGGGAATCAACGTGTCAGTTTGTTTCAGTGTCAGAGGTGGAAGAAGTACTCAAATGATGCAACACAATTTGAGTATACTTCATACAGCCGCCATCTAACGAGTCATACAATCTTACTGTTACTAACAACTGCAACCAAGCGTGATTAAGCAGCTGGGGTCAGGCGACATTTCTCTCAATCAATAGGCAGCCATGATAAAGAGGGGGTTGAATAGTATATGTGTGTGGTGTGTGTGTGTGCGTGCGTGTGTGTGAGGGGAGGAGGAAGAGGGGGTTCGGCATCTGTCCCGTAAAAGATGACTGAGCTGTTACAGTTAGAGCCGTGAATTATGGGGCCATTACTCGAGCAGAAAGATGCGATCCCTCTCCATGAAACCTCATTTGACAAAACAACGAGGCGACTCGGGAGTGAAAAAGGACAAATGAAGTTTATTTTTGACGGGAAAATAAACTCATTTTGGCCGGAGATGATTGCAGTGGAATCAGCAGTAATGCATTATTAATGTCCGCCTGCCAAAGCAGGCAAACATGGACTATTGTTTATGATGCCTTCCTTTTACATTAGCAATGCATTCATGAAAAAAGACATGCGATTAAGTGTATATTCTTTTTACTTGAAATCGAATGCATTATTAATATCTGCAGCCATTCAGATCTAATGTAAGCAGAGGCCTTGGTGTTTATCGCTGATTTATGAACAGACTATAGATTGTATATGTACTGAAACTCAGTGGTGCACACTTCCGTATTTTCCCACTTACTTTTACTACATTTGTAGGAAGATTATACTTATACAAAATATAATTAACATATAATATTATAGTTAAATGACCCAGAATGACTAATGTAATTTAATTAAACCCTCTTTTAAAGCTGCAACATTGACATGTTAATACATCAATAATTATCATCCAATATTGAAATATTTGGTGCTTTAATGGGCCATTCTGCATAATAAGTACTTTACTTTTGGTATTTAAAGTATATTTTGATTTACTTTAAGTACAATTTGAATGCACTACTTTTACTTGAGTATTATTATTACACTGTAGTTTAGCAGCTGTTGCATAATTTAGAAGAGTACTCTTCCACCTCTGACAGTGAAAAAGCTGACTTTAATTAATTGTATTATGTCAACAAAATGTCAACGTTGACGTTTTTTACTCAAATTATCAAATAGTAAAGTGTAAAAATACTCAGTTACAAGTCAAAGTAGGTGCATTCAAATTCTACAAAAGTATTAACATATAATTGAAGTACCAAAAGTAAAAGTACTTATTATGCAGAGTGTATTATTAGATTTGATCCTAATATGTAGTATTTTAACGTAATATTATTGCTTTCAACTAACCTAACACAGTTCTGAGAATTCCCAGATATCGTACATTTAATTAAAGCCACTTTTTCAGTCTTTTCTGTGTATTCTTCAGTTTTTTGTGCTGCTTTATGATGATATCTCCTCCCTCGCACTGGGAGAATAGTGCGGAGACGCCCACTGTTTCCTTTCACAGCGCGCCCGGCACATTACTATGCAGCAGCTTTTACAGTACGGCTTAGAGCTCCCCGAGCAAATTGGACACCCCACAAAGCATCGAACAACTGTTGTCCCCCATTGTGGATTCTTCTCTTTCTGCAGGGCACTCTTTATCAGGTGCTGAATGCAGAGGCAATGAATGAAATCATAGAGGGGGGGGGGGGGACCTCATCGAGTGGTTTTTGGGGGGTCACTCCCTAAAAAAAAAACCTCACAAGAATTCCTGAACAATCCGTGTGCAAAGCGGATCTTTTTCGCACCTCCCCCCAGAGTTTCTGTGACAGTTACCCCCCCCCCCTTTTTTTGTTTTTTTCCCCTCCTCCCCACTGCTTTTCAAAGCTTCCTTTCCATTAACTCTCCACGCCTAATCTCTGTGACCTCCACCACCGATGGACAGGGATTTTTTTTCATCATACCCCCTTTTCAGGCTTTTTGCCTGCTGCTGCTTTCCTGTGAGGCGACGGCACAGCTCTAACACTTTAAAGCTTTTGATCAATATATATTAATTGGCAGTGGTGGAAAGTAACTAAGTACATTTACTCAAGTACTTAAGTACTATTATGTCATATTTCTACTTTACTTGAGTTTTTCCATTTTATGCTTCTTTATACTTCTACTTCTCAACATTTTGGAAGCATTCATTCTACTTTCTACTCCATAACATTTTTTTAAAGAGGCCCTTTTATGCTTTTTAGGCTTCCCTTTCCTTTAGTGTATTATATAGGTTTTAGTGCATGTAAATGGTCTGCAAAGGCTAAAATCTCTCTGTCCCCCTCCCTGCCTGAAACCCCTCCATCGGACCCCTCCGTTCACTTCTACAAAAAAGTGACATCACTATGAAACACTCACGCTCCTATTGGCTATCACTCCAACACATTGTACGTGATAGGCTAAGGGGCGGGACATCTCTAAGCTGGTTGACCAATCACAACAGAGCCGGCCAGCTAACCAATCAGAGCAGACTGGGCTCTGGTTTCAGACAGAGGGTGAAAAGAGGTGCTGCAGCACAGGCAGTATGAGAAAAATAAGGAGCTTTTTGAACATTAAAGCATGGAGACATGTCCCAGTAGAGACATACTAATATGAACCTGGATAATGAACAGAATATGTCCTATGTCCTGCAGCATAACGTTACTATTATATCTGAATGTTCAGTGAGAGATTAGTCTTGTCTACCAGTAAAGGGGTAGATTATCTTTTACTGTGCCTCAAAGATGCGTGTTCCCCGCCCCCAAAAACCTGTTTTTGCCAAAGATTTCCTTTGATAATTCCAGTGTCAGGGGGAATTGTGTGCCTTGTCATCTGCGGTGCAATTTGTAGCTCTTCTTCTTCCCTTTGCTCTTGTTGTCAGGATCATTACGCAGTGTGTAATAAACGGGGAATTATGGGCGGCCTATTGTTAAACTCTTTAGTTGTCAGGTAGAAACGGCAACAGGCCCATTATCTTCAGCAGGGGTCCTGAAAACCAACAGCTGCTCGAGCTGCAGTTCAATAGGAATTACTTCCACGATTTTCTTTTTTTACACGCGCTCAAAAGCAGTCTTTTCCCTACAGTGTGTGTCCATTGTGTTATCTGAAGCAGCGGACCGGTGAAAGAAATCTTTCATCTCCAGTTGTTTGCTGAAGGATCTGGTTCTCACGCATTAGATTAGAGGTCGAAATTGGCGAGGCACTTTCTCAAGACGGCAGACTTCTGTCGCCTCGACTCACAACCGTAGAAATTCCCTCCAAAAACAACGGTGTGTGTGGTGTGTGGCGTGTATGCGTGTTCGTGCTTGCGTTGAGTGTGATGGTGTGTGTGTGGAGTCGATGCCTTGCTGAGCAGGAGTTTTATGCATTCACTGCACTCCTGGGCACAGTGGTGGAACAAACGCTTGTGATTACAACTTTTCAATCGAGCATAGTGATATGCATATTTATGTCTCTCCAAAAAACAAAAAGGAAAGAAAGGAAACCATGTGATTCATACTTTCATCCACTCATTACAAGTTTTTTTTGGGGGGAAATCAGAGGAAGCAAAGACAATCAGTGCCTTCAACGTCCGGGGTTTGGAGAGATTACAGTGACATTTAAATATGATGGTGATTTTGGTTGGATATGCTTTAATCTGGGGGGTGTGAATGTGTTACTGAAAGTCTGCAATCAAACACTCCATCGAATGACATTACAGTTTTTTATACCTGACAGACATTTTGTGTGCACCAGTCAAATCTTAAAATGAAATGCAGAGGCAATCCCAGATCAAATGTTCCTTAAAGGGTCCTAAACCTGTTATCGTATCGTTTCTGAACGGTTTTATCGTATTGTTTCCTTTAAGGTACAGAGTTTGGCATCCCTCCCATGAGACATTTGAAAATATGGACATTTGTTGATATATCTCCACTAGTTTCCAAAGCATTTTGTCATGTTTAAAGAGATGTCATGGTACTGTAGGCTATGATATTTTTATATGAGATAATATTGCTTCAAAATCATCAGGATTTGTGGAAAAGTATTGCAAAAAAAGGGAGTTCAACTGCAATCAAGTGCAATGAATGAGATATTTTACTTAAATGATAAAATGCTGGTATTTATATGAACTGTATATCTTGCCTGTGAAAGTACCCACACTGTACCTGTTTGATCTGCACAGAGAATCGCTCATTTTATATCAAATATATTTTTTTAAAGCGTATTTGTAACCACCTTTTGTTTCTGTTTCTTTTTGGTCCACAGGGAAGCCAGATCAAGCAGATTCCCACCAAGTACAGCCAGGCGGAGTCCACCAAGTTCCTGGTGCTCACGGTGGTCTCCATCTTGTGCATCGTGGCCGTTCTGCTCGCCTCCACCGTCATCTACTGCCTCCGCCATCGATCCCACCACAAGCTGAAGGAGAAGCTCACCAACCTGGGAACAGACACCGGAAACGATGCTACCTCCACCTATCAGGTAGGAGACAAACACATCCTTTACTCAAGTAGAAGTACAGATACTCGTGTTTAAAAATACTCTGGTAAAAGTAGAAGTACTGACTAAACTTCTTTACTCAAGTAAAAGTAAAGAGGGCTTTGAAATGTACTTCAGTAAAAAGTACCCATAACTAGCAGCTGTTTTAAAGAGTACCTGACCTCCCTTTATATTAATAGAACAATAATGTCATTGTTAGCTAATGAATGTTTCCATGCTGAACAACGGCAACATGACAACGTTTTCATTGGTCCCTCTTCTTTAGAGAAGACCAGGAAATGATGGATACACGGATCGTGTTCAAATCAATAGGCACGCAATGACTCTAAATAATAATGATCACACCACCAAACACACATTCAAACTAAAGGAACCAGCCTGTTTGGGAAATGTGAGAAGTAGAAAGTACAGGTATTTGTGTTCAAAATGTAAGAAGTAGGAAGTACAGGTATTTGGGTTAAAAATGTAAGAAGTAAAAGTAAAAAGTCGTCAGAAAAATAAGTAGTGGAGTAAAGTACTGATACCAGAAACATGTACTTAAGTACAGTAACGAAGTATTTGTACTCCACTACTTCCCACCTCTGAGTAGGAGGTGCTACTGCGCCATCTGTGAAAACAGGGGTGAAAGGATGACGTGTTTATGAAGGTCGATAGAGAAATCGTCACATATTAACACCACTTGATGAATTTTGAAGCGTAAATACAATCTCCAGAAGTAAAAAGTAAATGTTGGGCTCTAAAGGAACTACAGCACGGTTACATGACTTCACGTCACCACCGCTAAGCTAAAGGTGGCTAATGTTGGGCCATAAAGGAACTACAGCACGGTCACATGACTTCACGTCACCACCGCTAAGCTAAAGGAGGCTAATGTTGGGCTATAAAGGAACTACAGCACGGTTACATGACTTCACGTCACCACCGCTAAGCTAAAGGTGGCTAATGTTGGGCCATCAAGGAACTACAGCACGGTCCACATGACTTTCACGTCACCACCGCTAAGCTAAAGGAGGCTAATGTTGGGCTATAAAGGAACTACAACACGGTTACATGACTTCACGTCACCCACCGCTAAAGCTAAAGGTGGCTAATGTTGGGCCATAAAGGAACTACAGCACGGTCACAATGACTTCACGTCACCACCCGCTAAGCTAAAGGTGGCTAATGTTGGGCCATAAAGGAACTACAGCACGGTCACATGACTTCACGTCACCACCGCTAAGCTAAAGGTGGCTAATGTTGGGCTATAAAGGAACTACAGCACGGTCACATGACTTCACGTCACCACCGCTAAGCTAAAGGAGGCTAATGTTGGGCTATAAAGGAACTACAGCACGGTCACATGACTTCACGTCGCCACCGCTAAGCTAAAGGTGGCTAATGTTGGGCTATATAGGAACTACAGCACGGTCACATGACTTCACGTCACCACCGCTAAGCTAAAGGCGGCTAATGTTGAGCGTGATGACATTTAGTCGTCTCATTTAGACACTTGTTAGCAACCGCCATTTTTAAATTCACCAGTGGGTATTTACTGACGTATTTTATGTCTTAGAATAAAACTTTAAAATCTCTTCGGCTTGTGTTAACCACAGACCTTATTTCAGGCCTCTAACCAAAAAAATACCTTGAAAACCCATTGACTTCAAGACGAGCTATAAGGACTCATTTCGGTGTTTATGGACTTATTCCTGCACCTCTCTTGAATTGAAACAACTGCTACTCTCATAAACTATGCAGGGTTTGGATTGATAAGACTGTTGGTTCCCAAATGTTTTTGACAATTTCTATTTAAAATGAAGTCCTGCAATTTTTGCGACCCCTTGTTACCACATTGCATTGATTTACCGGTCGTTACAAGTTAAACCGAACAAGTGTTTTTAATTTTTCCTTGACGTAAAATGATCAAAAAGGGGCAAAAATAATAGGAAAAGTCTGACAAATATAACATAACTATAGCAGAAATCCATAAAAGTTCAATATAACGGGGCCTCTTAAAACAACCGTGTGTTTTTAGATATTAAAACTAGATTTATGCTGATTGCTGTGAGTCCCCTGCTATAATTTGTTGTTTGACATATGAAGCAATATTATCAATCCAACAGGTTTTTTCACCTCGAGTCATTTCCATTTATCCCCCCCCCCTCCACCCCCCCCGCTCCTCTCTGCTTGCTGTAATTATCCTTTGGCCGGAATAGCGGAGTGTGAAATTTAATTTACACAATCCAATATTAAGTGGCTTTTTGAGCAAAGAATTAAATTGAGATTTCTCCGTCTCTCTCCTTCTGACCTTTTCTCCCAGCATGTTTTTAAATGAGAGTGGTCCTGTGGGCATCGATTTTATAATGAGCCCGGCCCCTTCCCCTAAGTGCTTACATTTCATGCTCTCCCCCTCCTCTGGGGATTTTTAAACTCCTGCAATAGACTGAGCTGCTGCTGCGTCAGAGGTTTACCTCGACACCAGAGACTTATAATTCAGAATCATCCTCATTTTCAGAGTGTATTTCTGGCTAATTGGGATGAACATTGATTAGAAATGATGAGAAATAACTCACTTTATAGACGTTTTGAAGCATTGATTGGAAACAAAAACTGACAACAAGGAGGTTTAATTAACCTTCATGTTGTCAGCTGTGCAACTTCAGGCCTTGTTTGACTAATAGTATAAATAATAACCCAAATATTGGTTACACCTTTGAAGCCAAATTTATTCCAACTCATTACCACCAAGTTTTAGTCATCTGTTATCAAATATGTCCAATATATATATATATGCTCAATAGACGTCATTTACGCAAAATTAAACCAACATTTTGAGTTAAAAAAGGCGTTAAAATGTGCATTATTTGCCTGGATTAGAGGAACATGTCTCGATGGACACTTTATTCTGTTGTGAAACCATTGAATTGTTTTAATGGCAGCACATAATGACAGCAGATGCTTTTCATTTAAGCAATACACGCTAAATGTAAGTAGTCCTAATTATGTTATTTTTCTGGCAACTACAGTAGCTGACATCACTCCCTCTTTTTGACATAATCACATTTGGAAATGGGTCCAATTTGACCCTCGGCACACTCTTAGACATACAGTATATGTCCGAAATATCTGTACCTATAGTCAAACACATCTGCTCTCAAAAAACAGACAATTAAAACTAAATGTTAAGACAGCTTTCTCTGCCTGTTGTGACCAAAAAACCGACCTAAATGATTCCTAACAAAAGTACATTCTAATATCAACCATGCTTAGTCTAATGTTTGAATATATTATAAAACAAAAGTCTAGTAAAACCATTCGTCCGCTACGGAAATGTGCCTGCACTCTTCCTGGGGGATTGATATTAATAATGTAGATAGGAATTAAACATTGAATTAACATTAACTACAAAAAACACGCCTGTTTTTCCTGGCTCCACAATAGTGCACGCTCCACCTTGATAAGCACCTACAGTATTTAAACTGCACATTGGCTAATGATAATACTTCCAAAGAAGTCTCTCTTCTGCGTGTAGCACTTGGAAAGCTTACTTGAAGCCAATGCACTTACAATGGTTTGGCTTATTGAAAGCTAATGTACCTGCAGGAGTCTGTCTCACGCTGACATTTTAACGATCCACCTCTATCTACATAAAATATGAGCTTTTCCTCAGAGTGAGAAACCTATCTTCACGGTTCCTTGCCCCCGATGTTCCCTCTAAGCCTCTAATTGGAAAATGCAAATTAAAACACACACGTTAAGTCTGTGTTTACGCATTATTCCTCGAGCAAAAAAACGCTCATGTTGCTTATATTTGGGGGGAGGAGGGGGGAGAGGAGGGGGGAGACTCTCTCTCCTCCGTCAGCTTTATCGAGTCTCCTCAGTGAAAGACTTCAGTGTTCAGCCCCATCTTAGCCGTGTAAGCCTCGTCTCTTTGTCAGCACTGCTGTGTAGAGGGCTTCCCTGGGTGTGTGGTGTGTGTGTGTGTGTGTGTGTGTGTGTGTGGTGTGTGTGTGTGTGTGTGTGTGTGTGGTGTGTGTGTGTGTGTGTGTGTGTGTGTGTGTGTGTGTGTGTGTGTGTGTGTGTGTGTGTGTGTGTGTGTGTGTGTGTGTGTGTGTGTGTGTGTGTGTGTGTGTGTGTGTGTGTGTGTGTGTCTCCAGGGCTACATGCAATTAAAGCAGACAGGAAGCGGCAGGCTGCCTGACGGCCGTACTGCTGCGTCTCCTTCACACTGGCTGTCAAACACACACACACCGGCAAACACACATTAACATGCACCAACACACACACACATTTATGCATGCACACACTCACTCAAGATTCAAGATGCACAGGCGTTATTATTATCAGCATAAGAGTTACAGTTTTTGAAATGAAGTGTGAAGTGTTAGGCTCCTCCAACAGTGAAACATTCAATTTAAAGTGACACAATAGTGCAAGTATAATGCAGTTATAGGTCCACTATATGCATGTAGGGTGAAATAAGATAACACAATATTTCATTTGAATACTGTATAGTGCAATGAAAAACAACTGCACATTTAAATATGTTTATAAATACATATGTAGACTTAATTGGAAAATAAGTTGCTGCCTTAAAAACTTGAGTTAACAAATCTCTTGAATTGGCAATTTGTATAAATGTATACAATTACAGTTATCTTTACTTACAGTACAGCCGAATTAATTGAAAAGATACTAAACGTGTTCTTGAATAACTACAGATTGAGTCTTAGATTTTTTCAATAATCTAACAAGATATTAAAAAAATGTAAAAAATAATAGTGCAACAAGAAATATAGTAAACATTTCATGTGATTTTGTCCTTGGTGCCTCAATTCAAACACACACACACACACACACACACACACACACACACACACACACACACACACACACACACACACACACACACACACACCCTTTCCCCCTCATCGACTATAATCCCCTCCACCTCCAGCTCTCTGCTCCCCTGCCTGTCAATCAAACGATCCCCGGGAAAC